CAGTAACCAACCCCCTCCTGCAATAACCAACCCCCTCCTGCAATAATCAACCCCCTCCTGCAATAACCAACACACTCCTGCAATAACCAACCCTTTCCTCAATAACCAACGCCCTCTTGCAGTAACCAACCCCTTCCTGCAGTAACCAACCCCTTCCTGCAGTAACCAACCCCTCCTGCAGTAACCAACCCCCTCCTGCAATAACCAACCACCGACTGCGATAACGAACCACCTCCTGCAATAACCAACACACCTGTGCAGTAACTCACCCACTCCTGCTATAACTAACCCATACCCACAATAACCAACCTATTCCAGCAGTGCAGTAACTAACCCACTCCTTCAGTACAGCGTTCACCAGCCCTTGATGCTGTGACCTGTTACAGTGGCAGTTAACCTTTAGCATGAGTTTTGCGAGGGACTTCCATCTGCACATCCTTGCCACACGTTCCATTTGTAGGATCTGAGGATTAGGGTGATAACTTTGGAGAAGTGCTGTTATTCTACCTGCCACAGCCGTGGCTTCGCCATCCCACACCTGAATCCATGCAATTCCACATGTCACCCTTTCGCTAAGGTCCTCAGCTTCGCATTCCCACTGGCATTCTGGTTTAGGTGGGTCAGGAAGGAGCAGGACCCCTTCCTTCTCCTCCCTCTTCTCAGAGTGGTATGTGATGGAAAACTCCTGAGCTGTTCACTTCTGGGATTTTCCTATTCAGTGTTTTTTTGGACTACAGTTGATCTTGAGTGGCTGGAACTGCAGAATGCTACAGCGCAGACATGGGGGAACTACTGTACTATACTAGAACTTTTGTAACACCAGATGAGCACTTGATAACAGATGCTTGTCTTAGAGAAGCTCAAAGCCAAACTAATGCTTTCCTCTTTTCTTTTAATTTTAGATCGCAGTAATGTCATTCCAGTTATTCTTGGGCCAAAGTTGACTTCAGTTGAAGTGGAATTAGGTATGTCTCCACATTTACAGTCTTTGTGTTTGTGAGTGGAAGGACACGCTTCAGTTTTCAGAGGGTAAATCTGATCTATGTTGGGTCAACACTGTGTGTACAACATATTCCATATTTAATGAAAACATGAAGAAGGCAGAAAAAGCATGTCATCATTCAAGTGTTGTCGCTTTGGGGCTGATTGAAAGGAACAGTGTGTTCAAAGACAGTGGAACCATGTATGGTTTTTATAGAGTGGGATTTCTATCACCAAGTGAGTGGCTTCACTCTCATTGTGTCTGTGGTCATTTCTAGGCATAGAAATTCACTGATAACACTCCAGGTAGATGATTCAAACTTGTTTTCAATATTAAATTCATTGACTCACCTTGAATCAGTGGACCAAATTAACTGTACATTTAGGATTTGTCTAGACAGGTCTTATGAATCAACATGGCTTACTGGGTAATTTCTTCCAAAAAAGAAAGTAAAGGAAGAAAGAAATCTACATATGCTAAATATGCTAGGGGTTGGCAATACATCATCAGATTGAATCCTTGAACCAACTCTGAGAGACACTATCCCTGGTTTCTGGATTACATAACAGACACACAGAAAGGCTAAGTACCTTGTCTGAAGCTAAACTATTTAACATGGCAGAGCTGGGTTCCAAGTGTCTATGGGACACTATGTACCAAAGCCCACATTGCAAATGCTAGCAGGATTCACAGCCCCTTCATACATACAATAATATACTTCAGGTGCGAGTCAGGTATTATGCCATTTGAACTAGAAGTCTTCTTACTTTATATTTGTATTGATTTCCACCCTTATTTCTATTGCTTCTTTCTTTCTCTTTTTTGGCTTAACTTTTTTTGTAGCTTGTTGACAGTGAGCATTAGGAATTCATTTAAATTATCCTCTCTGTGGCATATCTATTTTAAAGTTTACATTTCACTGTGAACTCTATTTTAGCTATTTCTTTTTTTGATGTTTTACTTTTTTATTTTAAAGAGAAAACAAAAACAAAATAACAAAACCAAAGACAAAAACAAAACAACACAAAAACTATAAAAACAATACAGAATTTCAAAGCAAGATGATAGGAAATCAACAATGGTTTTTGTATTACTTATTGTTATCTTCAAAGTAGTTGCTCATATTACCAGACAGAGGCATGCAAGATTGATCAAACAATTAAACATTAACTGTTCCTTTCAATAAACCAATAGAAATTAGTAGTACAATTATTTTAGCTATCTTGTGTGTGTGTGTATATGTTTCTAATAAGGATTAGTATGCCATATTTTATGTTATTCTATTCCAAACATTAATTTTCCTTTGTGATCTTTTCTTCACCTGTAACTTATTTTTGTTTCTTACTCTTTTTGTTCCTGTTTTGTTTTTTGTTTTTTGAGACAGGGTCTGACTATGTAGTGCAGGCTAGCCTTGAACTCACAGCAATCCTCCCACCTCTGCTGGATTATAATGCTGGGGTTATAGGCATGCATCACCATGCCTGGCTTATGTTTGTTTCTTAATTTCCAATTTAAAAAAATATCACTCTTATTTATTAAAAATGTCTGTCACTTATCCACTTGTTCACTGTTGTCTCTGTTTTTTTCAGAGCTGTTCAGAGTCTTTATCTGCCAAAGCCAGCATCTCAGTCATCTATGGGCCTGCTTCTTTTATCTATTTTTTCTATTGAACATTGTCTCGTTTTCTGTCTCTGCATATCTCTTGTTGTTGTTGATCTTTGTGGATCAAAGTGAATGAAACGTGGTATTTTTTCCTCTGAGTGTTTGTTCTTTCCTCTATTCGGCAGGTAGGGTAAGGGGTTGAGGATCTGAGCTCACTCAGAATGGAGCTGGAGTCATGGGAGGCAGGTGTGTAGGTTGGATTTATCTTGAATCTCCGGTAGCTGAGGGTGGGAAGAAGGCTGTCGTCAGGAGGTGTCAAGTTTTGCCCAGTCCAAGGCCTTGGCAATAACCTGTCCAGCCTCTGTAGCTGTCAGTGTTCCCCTGGATTCATTTCTCTGTGCGAATCTTTGTTTATTCCAACGGGAGCACAGTGCTCTGTGCAGTAAAATGGCCAGCAGCCTTCATTTGCCCTGGGAGTGATCTTTCCTGACTATCCTTGTAGCCTAACTATTTCTACTTACTTTTCATGCACCTTGACTTTAGTTTGTAGTTATTTATTTATAAGTTATCCATTTTGTTGTCCTGGAAGTTGCTTGACACTTCACACTATCTACTACTGAATTGTGCGCTGAAAAAAGGCCACCAGCCACCCTAAGTTTTACTAATTGATTTAAAAGTGAATATGTAAAGAGAAATCCATTCATGCCTCGCTGGTGACTTGTCATTGCTACCTAATTCCTCTGCTTTAGTGTTATTATTTTTTAAAATTTAAAAACAGACATATCTGTTCTCTTCCATATAGCACTGTGTTTTGTAGTGAGTTATCATTCAGTGATTATATTAATTTGAACTGTTTGGGAAATCTGAATTTCTAAAATGAAAACTGTGGCTGTCAACTGTTACCTAGGAGAAGATGTAGAACTCAACTGCTCTGCTTTGGTGAATGAAAAGGACTATTTTTATTGGAGCTTCTGGAAAGAAAATGGACCAGATCCTAATGTGCTCGAAGACAACAAAAGCAACTCTTGGTACGCACATGTGACATGTGACAGATATTACAGTGTATATAAAGTCATGGCATTTATACATGATAGACCAGATGCCGAACTCCCAAGTGGCTGATACGGCGTTTTGGGGTCGTTTACATTATACTGTATACATTTTATCATTATAACTGCCATCCCTCAATTGGATTGTGCAGAAATTTATTGCCAAGTTCTGACTAGATAAAAGACCCATGAGAAGGTCCATGGTCATTTTTATCATCCCCTTATAAGAATAGACTGTAGTCAGTTGGGATGTAAATGGCAAGATTTTGCCAAGCTTCTTATAGAAGAGCACTTATCTAGACTACAGTTGCTTGGATTTTGAAAAACATGTTAAGTGCTTTATTTTTACTTCTGTGCCACACAAGTTCCACACAACACACACTGCTACTTAAATAGCTGTATTCTTCCGTGAAGGAATGCAGGTTGTCGTTGAATCTTTCTGAGGGACACTGGGGCCTACTGTAATGATTAATTACTGCTCTTAGTTCAGGTTCTGAGGAGTGGTGATCCTGAAGTTTCTGGCCTCTTCCCTGCACTTCCTGATTTGCCCTGATTTTTTACTTTGCTGTAGTGTGTTCTTTGCTACCAGCACAGTGTCCCCCAACTCTCTGTGCCTCTTATCCACGGGCTCGGGCCCCTCCAGGCCAGGCAGCTGCTTAGGGCCCAGTGTATGCTGGATTCAGCTGAGTGGCCTGGCTGTCCCATTGACGGTGTTCTTCCTCGGCGACTGTCCTCCATCAGCGTTTTCGGTCCCCTTGTCAGAACCTCTGTCTCATCCGGGGTGGTCGGGGGAAGGAGAGCAGCTCACCACTCGCGCAGAGCTGCAGCAGAAGCTGCGCGAGCAGGGCGGTCTCTGATATTGGGAGCAAAAGCTGTTAACACCAGCCTGCGGGCTTCTCAGAGGACCCTGCGTCCTGCTTCTGGATTTGCATAGGCTTCTCTGTACAGAACTGTGTTCTGAACGGTCTTGAGACAGCCGGAGGCTGCACTGGGCCACTTCCCACGTGCTTGAGACAGCTGGTGCCGGGCAGACGGGCACGCAGGGAGCACACCTGCTGAGCTGGCTGGCACGGCCCCTCACAGCCTGCCACTGCCACAAACACGAGTGCTTGTCTCGCATCAGCAGTGGGACTGCTGGGTGGGAAGGGAGCTTGCTGCCAGCAATTGTCCCGTTACCTCCGATGCTTGCTGAACAGTTAAATGGTATTTGTTGGTATTTGTCCTCTACCTGGGTGTCTGAGAATAATGATCATTTCCTGAAGGCTGAACAAAAGCGAAGTGGTCTCAGGGACTGCTTGGACACGCTTGACAGGAGTCTGCATCTGTGCTAAGCAGTCCAGAGCTGCTGTAGTTTGACTCCACCGTGCTCCCCGGGCTCCAGTGCCAGCTTAATCCTCAGTGTTAAACTAATACGTGCTTGGGGACAGAGCTCTGGAGCGTGATTAGAGTGGACTGGGCATGTGAGTGGCGTCCTGTGGTTGAATTCTGGTGGCTTTAAAAGAAGAGGCAAGAAAGAGCCCACAGTAGAGGCACACATACCATGTTGGACTGAGCTCTGCAGGGGCCCTTGCACACTCAGCCTCCAAAACTGTGAGTTCAATAAACTCCTTTTCTCTACAAATTAACCCGCCTCAGATATTTCGCGATAGTAATGAAAGCTACTTAATACAGCAAGCTTGTCACCATTAATGGAGACTGTGCTGTGACAAGAACCCCCAGTTAGGTGGGAAAGGATAGGAAAAATAACAGAGAGAAAGAGAAAGAATGAGATAGAGAGAGAGAGAGAGAGAGAGAGAGAGAGAGAGAGAGAGAGAGAGAGAGAGAGAGAGAGAGAGAGAGAGAGAGAGAGAGAGGAGAGAGACTATTTCCCAGTATTTTCAACTTTTAGTTGAAATATTTCCCAGTATGTTTTATAGTTTTTTTTTTTAAATTTTAAAGATAAAAGAATGAAAACATACTAACAAACACACATACATTTATAAAACAACACAAAAGCAATAAAAGCAATACAGAATTTCAGACAAGGTGATAGGAAATTAACAATGGTTGTTGTATTACATATTGTCATCTTCAAATTCACTACTCAGATAAACAAATATAGATATGCAAGAAGGATCAAACAATTAAACATTAACCGTTCCTTTCAATAAAGCAAGGAAAATCAGTAGTACAACTATCTTAGCTGTTCTGTGTATACATATGTACATATTTTTCCCTTCCTTCTTTCTTTGCTCTTTTCTCTCATCCCAGTTCTTTCCTTTTGAGCAGTTTCCTTCCCTTTCACAATATCTGTTGCACCTTTTAGATTTTATTTACTCTTCTAACTTCCCAGTGTTTTCAGCTATTTTAGGTCCTTTCTTTGCTGCTGAGACACAATACCCGACACCCACAATTGGAAGGCTGAGGGGTTCATGTTGCCTCACAGTTCTGTGGGACTCAGTCCGGAGCTGGCTGGCTTCAAGGCAGAAGGGACATGGTGCAAGAGCCAGCATGGAGGAGAGCTGCTCAGGTCATGGCGGCCAGGAAGTGGAGACAGAAGGGAGGAGCCAGGGAGGGAGAGAAACACTTCCAGGTCACGACCCCAGTGAGCACCTCCAGCCAAGCACATTCAGCCACTGAACTCAGTAGTAGATGAATCTACTGATGCACAGAGCACCCCCATGGCCCATTCCTCTTCTGAAAACCCTCCTCTGAACACGTGAGGCTTTGAGGGGCTTTCTAAATCTAAGTCCTGATACAGTATTTAAACTCTGGGTAGTTGACAACACTGTCCCCAGGTGGTCTTGAAAGGACTGAGTCTATTGTTCTGATGTTCCACAGAGCAGCAGGAGAAGCACTTTAGAAGCCATGTCCAGAAAGGGGAGGTCTGAGCGCCAAGGGGTAGAAGCCTTTGAGAATCTCACGCTTGCGGATTCCCCACTCTTGGGCAACCTTGCTGCGGACAGACCCTGTCGCTAAATTATTTTCCTCTCTTCCAGGACTTTAGAAGGCAAAACATATGCTTCAAAAATACTGAGAATTCAGAAAATTAATGAAAACAATCTAAATTTTTTATACAATTGTACTGTGACCAACGCCAGAAGCATAGACACCAAAAGCTTCATCTTGTTGAGGAAAGGTAGGAGTATTTTGTGCCTGAAGTGTGGTGAGCCATAGCAGGTAGCTGCAGGATGTGCTCAGAGATGGCCAGTATCTTGTTTCCATGGGAACCGAGCTCCCGCAAGGTGGCAGGTGCACCTGGGTCCCAGGAAATCAGAAAAGGGACTGGGGCTCTGCCCTGCCTGGAACCTCCATGTTCCCAGCCAGAGAAGGAAAGCTGAGCTTATGCTCTGCTGTCACAGCGAACGGGAAGCCAGTGCAGAGGCCAGAGCACAGGGACGCAGGTGCTGGGAGTGAGGGTCGCAGGGGAGGCAGCTGACCGACCTTCACACTGGGACAGGCAGAGGGATTTTGCAGATGGGCATCGGGTGAGCCTGCAGCTGGCACGAGCAGCCCCTGGACAGTGCCCATGGACATTCGGTGGCCCTGACCTCTGGGGTCTTAAAACTTCCAGCAACCACCTCCTGGGGAGCCACACGATCGCTCATGTCTGTCCTCTCAGCACAACCAGCCCGGGTTCCGTGGTACAGTGTCCGCTCAGAAGTGGCCATGTCTGGAGCCACAGTCTCCACTTCCCTCTGTCACAACTCTCTAATGCTCATTACCAGGCATGGCCACCAGCTCCCTGGATGTAGAGGGGATGGTGAGGATCTGAGAGACGGAAAGGGAGACACAGACAGAGAAAAACAGAGACACACAGACAGACAGACATGGAGAGGTGAGAGACAGAAGGACAAACAGAGATGGAGACAGAGAGAGAGCAGAGACAGAAAGAGATACAAGTACAGATGAGAGAAAAACAGTGTAAGACACATACACACACACACACACACACACACACACACACACACACACACATGGGACCATGCCTCATTGGGGCTGTGGGAACCCACAGGCCAGTAGCCACCCTATCTGTGCTGTCCTGGGCCTGCCTACCTCTCACCATGTGCCTGGTGGAAGCCACCACTGTCCCACCTGTGGTCCCCATGGGAGCCAGCATCCCTCACACATCGGTCCGTGACACTGCTCAGCTCTTCTGTGACTGCACTTACCTCTGCCCGCCCTGATAGGGGACAGGCCCCCCCAGGCCACACAGCGCAAAGGTAGCGAAGTGCTACCTTTGCAGACCTGGTTCCTTCTAGAGTCCCAGGTCCTCTCGTGTCCCCTCCTCCCCTGGAGTGCCTGTGCCCTGTGTGCAGTGGCCGGGGCACGGGAGAGGGAGGGGGCCCCGAGTCGCTTCATTCCCACTGACCCCCTGGGCCACCTGCGTTCCCTGGCATCCACTAGCCACCGACTGCCTGTCCTGTCCCTGCCCAGCATCTTCCGTCCTGAGTGTTTCTCCTGCTGAGTCCACAAATACAGGCTGAGGTACAGGGTCTTCCAACCCACCCCTGCCCTGGGCAATGTGGGTGTCCCTGTGCTTGTGCGTGAGCCTGTATGCATGTGTGTGTGTGTGTGCACGCTCACACGTCTGTCACAGTCATGAGTGTATAGACCTTTCAGAGACGTGGGAGCCCAACACCTGGCTTCCTTCCATACTCCCTAGGTACACCTAGGAGCTAACTCGCATCCCCAGAGTTCATTGCACAGGGAATATTGTCAGGAAAGGTTGTTACCTAAGCTGGCAAAAGCTTGAAGGATGTGGGTAACACTTCAGCCTGGAAATCTCCCCTCCATTAGAATTTATTCCAAGAAAATAGGCAAAAGCACAGACAAATGGGATGTATTGGTCATTTCAGCACAATGTATAGTTAGGGCAAACTGCAGTCTGTCTGAATCTCGGGATGTTATACATGATCATGTTAATGACCTAGTGAAATGCTGTTAGTGTAATATGAACAGGTAGAGAGTGATTATCATGATATTAAGTAATGAAGTAAAAACTTTCAGGTAAAACAAAACCCAGAAAGGAAATACACTGCCTTCTTAGTATGACTATTATCACATTGTGAGTGGTTGTTAAAAATTATACTCCCAAATAATCTCATATTTACCTATAGCGAGCATACACTGAATCAGTGTAGGAAATGTAATTCTTTTCCCAAAGGAATACAAAAAGTTGGCTAAAATTCTGAGAACTCTGGGCCAGGCATATGTAACTACTTTGCACGTAATATCTCAGTTAACCCTCTGCCAAACGTAAGAAAAACAAAATGTGTGTTATTTTCATTTTGCTGAGGAAGGCACTAAGATAGAGGCGCCTCCATGGTCTTTTCCGTAGTACAAACAAACATGGAGTCAGGCTACAAACCCTATATCCTCCCACTCTGATTTTGTCTCTCAAAACCATACACATCTGTTTGCTCTGTATTCCAGCTGAGACTCACATTTGACCCCTCTGCAGTTCACCCTTGTATGTTACTGCCCCAGAAGTCTGAATGCCACAGGTGCGGATGGAAGATGTCGCAGTATTTTCAGTTGAGGTCTCTGAATGTCCCCGTGCACATTTATTCCTCATGAATTGGAGTGGAGACATCAGGACACAGACTGAGGGCAGGAACATGAGGAGCTGAGGGACTGGACAGTGGGTGGGTCCCTGGCTTCATGAGAAAGGGAAAGGTGGACAGCCACACACTGAGGCAGAAGGCATGCGGAGGTACCATCGGCCTTCTTTTCCTGTGCTGTTCTGTTGTCAGCAGGCACGGCTGATATCCCGGGCCACGTCTTCACTGGAGGGATGATCGCAGCCACTGTGGTCTCCGTGGCAGTCCTGTGCCTGGGGGTCGTGTGTGTCATTTGTAGAGTGGACCTGGTTCTGTGTTACAGACACTGGATGGGAAGCGACGAGACATTGACAGGTAATGGGTATCATAATGCTGGGGTTTCTTAGTTTAGCTCTCGTTGCTAAGCCAAGTAAATTAATCTTTATCTTACTAAGATCAGTGCTTTTTATTTTATTTTGATTATTCTATGGGAGAGGTTTTCTGTGAAAAAAATCACATCATGCACCATCCATGATAAACGTTGTTGCGTGTTCTTTTCTTGTGCTTACTTGTGTGTTACCAAAACTTGTTCCGTAGTTGTTTAATGTATGTATGTACGTATGTATGGTTCTCATATACCATGTCCTGGGTGTGCTGAGCAGTGCCCAAGCCCAGGAACTATATATCTGCATGCCTTTGTCCACAGCCTTGACCTGCCTTCTCCAGCAGGCAGTTGGTTAGTTGGTTTGCATTGCGTTGCACTGCATATGGGTCATTACTGAGAGCTGGAAAAGGAGGGTAAGTGAGCACTGTAAGAAGCCTGCACCAGAATTCTCCTAGGTCCGCCAGTTTTTATCGGTTACGATGTCCATCTGGTGACTCTCCACCTCAGTTTTTTTATATTGAAAAGTGGCAGTAAGTCTTTAAGATACCCATCAAAAATCAATTCCATACACGGCACAAGCAGATTTATATTACACAAAGGGAATTGCTTGAAATACAGATTTGAAAGCAATCGTTAGAAGACTAATTTTTGGTAAGAGTGAAGATGTACCACGTGTGGTTTAAATCTGCTTTTGGCTGAACTGACTTCTCAGTTTATTCCCGTTAGCGACATCCAGCTGTGAAACACGGTGTGTCTTTGCAAAGAGCGTGGTCAGTGGTCATCGACTTGTCTTCCCTTTTCTGCCTCTTCTTAGTAACAGATAGTAGCAGACATAGTAACAGGTAATCACATAGTAACAAATAGCAGAAATGCCACCTCCTGCCCACCTAGTAAGTGCTATATTTCATGGCAATCTAAGAGAAGTATGCAGGGAGAGCTACTTATTTTTGTCAACTATTCTAACCTTTGATCTGCACGTATGTCTGCAGTTTTTACCAAAATCTCCCATCTTTTGTGTACATGCAGTTGTGAAGAGCAGTAGTTTTAGATCAGGAGTAGGTAGTGTCTCGGACTGTGGAACCTCAGTGCCGCAGGCAGAACTGATGCAAAGCAGTACTCTGCAAGACTGAAGACTGTTGATGTTGAGAGCCTGGGTGGCTGAGAATGAATCCTGTGGCACCAAAGGACCTGGCCTAGGATGGTTTTGCCAGAGTATTGTTATGAAGGATCACATCATTTCTACCATTCGGTGCAATAGGAAATCCTGATAATATAGCTAGGTATAAATGTCACTGTTCGCCATCTACCCGGTTGTCGCAGGATAGGCCGTGCCGTTCCCCTCCAGTGCCCTCCTCTGCCCGTCCCGTGAGTGCTGCTTGTACTATGTAGGACCCCACTTGCCTTTCCCTCTCCCAGGGAGTGTGTCCTTGGAGATCACTGCCCAGTCTCTGCCCAGGCTATTCCATTCATCTGCCTTATGTTTTAGCACTGCTTTTCACCTGCTCATGTGCTGTTCGTAACTTCTTGTAAGTTGTTGTGTTTGTCCTCTTTGTCTTCTCCAAGAGATTGCATGAAGCTGAAGAGAGAATTGCATGATTTTAGTTTCTTACTTACCCAGTAAGGAGAATGGGCTTTGTCATTTAGGCAATGCATTTCCCCCTGAATATGTCTGTTAGTCATTTGAATACTGCTGTGCTACGAGGAGCTAAGTAGGAGCAGAGGTGGACGTCACTGAACATGGTCAGCGGGCCAGAAGGTTTCCTGTGACGGCTTGGGTCCTATAATATTTTACTCTTATAGCATGTGCTCCCCAAGGGTACTATTTCCACCGCCTCTGTTGCTCTTCCCACTCTGTACTGCGTTTCTGCCTTTCCTTCCTGGTGGGGTGGTGAGGGCCGAGGTGAAGATGGTGTAGAATCGAGGGACGGAGGGAGCCTGGGGAGATGCGATCTCTCGTGTTTCTCCCGCCCCTCTGCGGCGTCACACCCTGGGATTCTTAAAGTGCGGGCTTGAAAAGCATGCGGTCGATGCTCCTCAGTTAGCGTCTGAGGCTTCGCAGTGCTGGGTTTAACCTTTCTTTTCCCGCTTCCCTATTCTGCCGTGACGTCCCTGGAATTTTACTTAAACGCCTTTGACTTATGCGTTCAAGAGTGCGCCCTGTCTGCCCCCTAGATGGCAAGACGTACGACGCATTTGTGTCCTACCTGAGAGAGTGTGGGCTGGAAGATGGGGAGGCGTACACCTTCGCTGTGGAGACTCTGCCCGCAGCGCTGGAGAAACACTTCGGGTATAAGCTGTGCATATTCGAGAGGGATGTTGAGCCCGGAGGAGGTGAGATGGGGTGCCGGCCGGAAACCTCGTAGGGGCGTTTTCCTTTTTCAAAACCAGTTGTTTAGCTGCATAGATGACTAATTTGTAAACAAATAAATAGGTCCTGAAGCCCACACAAAACCAGGTAAGTCAATATCTGGCTGATCTGGTCAATATTTGATTATCTGACAATAATAAATAATGAGAAAACAAACCGGCTATTTTGCTTCCAATGATCCCTTCCCTGGGGCCTCTGCACCCCGCTCCCAGCTCTCCAGGAATGCAGCGGGCATCTCCTTTGTGGGCATCTCCTCTTCGGTGCCACGTTCACAGCCAGCGTGGCCACATGGTGCTGACCTACAAGAGATGCCCAGCTAAGGAGGCGGCTGCTCAGTGCAGGTCCTACCTTAATCCGTGCTGTCGGGGCTGTGCTGCACAGAGGGACTCTGACTACAAAATGTTCTTCCTTTGTGGTGTTAATGCTGGCGACAAAATTCTGTAGGAAATGAGGGAATTGGAAAAAGATCAATACACGGAAATTGTTGGTGATTCCCATCAGATCAGAGTTGGAATTCAGTGTTGTTAAACTAATATATGAATGAAAGTGGGACTTTCAATATATGCCATAGCGCATATATTGAGGCAAATTGCAATTAAAATCAAAGATATTTATTAACGTTTCCATGGGTTTTTCCGGAGGTCTTACAGCGGAAATATTAGAAATCTAGTGTCAAATTGTTGTGGATAGTGATGCTAATAAGACATAGAAACAACTCCATTGTGGCCGCATGCATTTATTCAGCCAGTATTTATTGAATATCGTCATCCCTGGGCTGAGTTCTGAAGATAAAGTAATTAATTTATTTAAGTCAACAAGAAACTAGCATTTTCCCTCCTATATTACAATTTAGAAAGGGGAAATATTACTAAGTAGAAAGACACAATATAGTTTAATAATGAACAACTTCTCAAGTGGAATAATCCTCACACGCACAACACTGCGACATTTTTACTTGGCAATTCTTATTATCTGAGAAGGCATGATGTTACCCACCACTTTGCATCAATTTTTACTATATTTATATTATTTTCTAAGGGTGATTTCCAAATAGGTTTTTTTCTACCTTCTGAGCTCTTAAATAATAATAAAGACAATTCGTATATTCAGTTGTAATCAGGTTTGGTTGAGATCTCTGGGGTCTAGAATGGGGGTTGCCACACTGCCACCCTGGTCCAATCAGGCTGGTGCCCTTGCTGAAATATCTGCTCTCTGTGACAGCTTTTGAGCTGAGCAAACAGCTCAACAGCAGAGTTGAGCAGAGGGGACAAAGACAGTATGACCAGCAAAACCAAAATACTTACTGTCTGGTCCTATGTAGGAAAAACTGGCCAACTCTGGTCTACAGTAATGAATAATAGTTTAAGGTACTATTTTTTTTTTTGGCTTGTTTGCTATTCAGTCTCTAAGTTTTGATTTCAGCGTGCTCCTCCATGCACGTGGGAGGCGGGATGGCGTGGTGGGTGTGAAAATGTACGCAGCTGGTGCTAAGTTCCTAACCGTGGGGCTCCAGGCAAGTTACTTAACTGTAAAATGGACAGGAAGCCAGTACCTGCTTCCTGAGCTCATTATGAGGACAAACAAGTTCATATACTGAAAACCTTCAGGGAAGGGAGGGCACAGCGGAAATACTGAGTAGGTGGTCGTTACTGCTGCCTACATGCTTACTTTTATAAGCATAAAATTGAGAGCAAGTGGTTTGTCTTAGCCTTTTAATAAGTTTAACAGGTAATAGTATAAAATAGGATCCTATGTAGAAGCAACTTGTGTCATGCCCGCCTTTCCTGTTTGCTTTAACTGACAATACGCCTCGTGTCTGCAGCTGCTGTCGATGACCTCCATTCACTGATCAGGAAAAGCCGACGGCTGATCATTGTCCTCAGTAAAAGTTACATGTCTCATGAAGTCAGGTACGAACTTGAGAGCGGACTCCACGAAGCACTGGTGGAGAGGAAAATTAAAATAATCTTAATTCAGTTTGCACCTGTTGAGGACATCACGTTCTGGCCGCAATCTCTAAAGCTTTTGAAATCACACAGAGTTCTCAAGTGGCAGGGTGATGAGTCTCTTTCCTACGACTCGCGGTTCTGGAAAACGCTTCTTTATTTAATGCCTGCAAAAGCACTCAAGCCAGATGGGGGTGGATCAGAGGTCTTGCCTGTTCTTGCTGAAGCATCTTGAGGTTTAGAACGGCTGCGTGACACAAAGACTTCTAGTGATCCTGGAGACTGAGTGTGCGCGCTGGTTCAAAGCAGACTCTGAAACATTGGACGCTTTACAAATCCCACTTGCTTTCTGAAGATGGGATTTGTCATTGGCTCATCAGGAATGAGACTGAATCTTGAGCTGGCCCTAAGCTTCCAGAAGACCCTGGAATTCAAGAGAGCTGCAGCTGGCCCTTCGCCCTGGCAGCTGCTTGCACAGATCCTGTGGTCAGCAAGTACGATGCTGGGTCCCGGGCAGACAGACTGTGCGGGACAACGGGGCACCACGCTGAGAGCATCCGGGCTATTGGTCTGGGGGACTTTAAATGCAGCAGGAAGGATTCTCCACGAACCGGTGGGTGGCAGTCCTCGGAATGCTGCCTTACCTACCCTGGCCACCTTGGGTCCTGGTGGGATGGCGAGGAGGAGTGGGTGGGGCTGCGGCTGGGGGTGCAGGAGTTGTGGGGCTGAGCAGGGTGCTGCGGCGGGGCCTGGACCCCAGGATATGCTTCCTTTTCCCTTCTCCCACTCGCTGTTCAAGGCAGCAGTTCCGGGAGCCCCGGTGAGGCACAGGGCAGGGCTTGCTTACCCAGACCTATTCTTGAGAGCCCCCTAAAGGCACTCCAAGCACCTTTGCATCTTTCATGAGAGATTTTATTTCAGATATTCTCAGTGACTTTTACTTCTCGTGCTCTAAAACATTGATAGATGTTATGTAAATATTTGTATTCAGGCTGGTGCCAGATCACATTAGCCATTAAACAGAAAAAAAGAAATGTGTCTGTTTGATTTTAAAAAAATCCTGTGTGAAATGCCCCTGGCACAGAGGCAGCCTGGCATGGTGGTCGAGGGTCTGGGTGGTGTAGCCCACCCAGAGCTCTGGTCTTGCTCTTCCTCTGTGAGCTCTAGAGCCTTCCCTAACCTCCCCGTGCCTCAGGTTCCTCATCTGTAAAACTGGAACTTACAATGGTCGTACCTACTTCCCAGGGTACTAACTCTGCTCCAGGCCAGCCCTCCGCAGCCAGCTTCCTCTCCATGCCGCCTTGCCCCAGGCCTCCTTAGAACAGTTCTTGGCAGAGCTACCATTCTTCCTGTCGCTGCTAAGGCTATTATTACCATAATTAATTCTCACTTAGATCAGTTATTTAGCAGTGGACCAACGAGAAGTCACAGAGCAGGAAGGGGAAGCTCATCTGGAGAGGAGGCCAGGTGTGGTGTGAGGGCCTTTGCAAAGACAGTGAAACAGAGGTGCGGCATATGAGCCAGGCGAACGATGCGTCTCCCCTGGAGCCCGGTGCTGTGGGTCTCTCCACCACCTCGAATGCAGTAGCTGATCATGAAAGCCGCTGGACAGCAGTCTCTAAACAGAAGGGAAAATCGCAGAAGCATGAAAGCTCCGGCGTGGAGGGCTGGCTACAGTCTATGGGTGCAGCATGAATGTTCCAGGGAAGTTTAGGGCAGAGAAGGAGCAGATTTTGCTAAAACTTTAAGGAGAAAGAGATGTTCTGTGTAAGAGGGTGATTTAATCTCATAACGTTTATGATTTTGTGTGTGAATTGGCTGGATTAGAAAAGCAAATGAATTAATACCTATGTTTTATATGTGAAAACTTGGAATACAATAAATTTCATTACTACAATAGTCTCTACTGCCTGCTTTCCTGTTTTGTTACATTCTGCTTTCCTGTTTTGTTACACAGGCTTTAAAGCACATTAAATATATTTTGTATGAAGTGTACTTCACGTTGAGTATGTTAAATGTGTGTGTTACATGTGTGCTTTTAAAAACTCCAAGTACATTGCAATACGTTAATGAGTCGTGGTTCGCCTACCTTTATTTTCAAGATGTCTCTTGACTTTTTTTTTCACTTATGTTAAGACTCCAATCCTTCATTCTCACCATAGATTCCAGTCTATTTTAACAATATACGGGATTTTCAAAATGAATGCCTACACCTACCATCTTTTAGGTACTTTGCACCTTTTATTTTTTTTTTTTTTTTTTTTTGTTTTTTGTTTTTCTCCGGTACCGGGAACCGAACTCACGACCTTGCACTTGCCAGGCAGGCGCTTTGCCGCTGAGCTAAATCCCCAGCCCCTGCACCTTTTAATTTTACCTTCCACACAGGAGCAAAAGGAGCTCTCCCTCCTCTCTCTCTCTCATAAGCCAATGCTGTGTAAACGTTGGAGCGGACACATAGCCGGCCTTCATGTGCCAGGTGAGCGATGTCTACATGTTTAAGTTTAGGCTCAAACACGACCATTTCCAACCAGGATCAATTAATAACATTTTCCGTATTTGAACATCTTCTATGTTCGATCCCCTTCAGGTGGAAAGTGTGTTTTAGAGAATCAGACACCCTACTCTGTGTGGAGAGACAGCTCCTGTAGGTTCATTACTCTGTTATAGGCACTTGCTGAGCTGCAGCTGTACTCTCAAAGCAGAGAGAAGTCTCCAACGGTCTCTAAACCCAGGCACACGAGACCCAGGAGCATGATTCTGTCTGGGTCTTGAGCACTGTCACAGCCCTGGCTGCTTTACTGGGCTGGGAGGAGTCGGAGCAGTGTCCTCTTCCGACCTGCCTGGTGGAAAGTGAGCTGGGAGGTCGGCAGCTTTTAGGCTGCAGGTGCTTTTCTGGGTCTTGATTGATCCCAGGAGGCCTGGGGGCATGGAGAGGAAGCTGGCTACAGAGGGCGGGCCTGGAGCAGGAGGGGAACGTCAGGGGTGCTCAGGGCTCCTGCTGAGTGGTTTGGTCAGGGTGGAGGGAATCACGTGAATGCACTGGGGTTCTGTGCGGGGTGGCAGTGTCCTGTCTGCAGCGTGCCTGTCACCCCAAGGTGAGGACACTGGGGTGAGTGCTTGTTCTGGGGGTGAGGGCGCCCACAGGGGGTGTAGTGCTGGTTTGGGGCAGGCCAAGGGGGACTACCAGACTCAGGAAGGTGGAGAAAAGATGCCAAGTTGAATCACAGCTTTACGTGCTCGGAGAGGCAACCTGTCATCCGGGCCTGAGCCGCAGCTCAGAGTGGGGGAAGAGACCGAGGGCCGAGGAAGCCTGATTTCTGAGCAGAAGCTGAGGCGGGCTCACTTGGTTGGCCAGGCCCCAAATGTAACAGGCAACCGCCTGCGTGTGCCATGGGCAACACACGGCGCCTCCCGCCCACCTGCGTGCCACCCTGCTGGTGACTGGAGCCTAGGCTGCGAGCCTGCGCCAGCACCTGTTTCTCTGGGCCGCCTCTGGAACCTGCTTCTCTCTCCGGCCTATCACGGGCAAGGGGCCCCTACCGCCTCTATCCAGTTGCTGCACCTTGGTGCGTGTGGATAAGGGTGACCGTGCTAACGGATGTTCACGAGTTGCTTGGGAGTTTTAGGGTTCCCCTGAGGGGCCTCATGGACCACCCTGGGAGGGCAGGATGCAGAATTGTGGGATATGTATCCTGAGCCTCAGGAAGCGCTCCTTCACCCCGCGTTTCTTGCCCCCTACTAATGCTGTAACCAGAGCCACACTGACTTTGCCCACCCTGCGTACTGTGGACTCATGTGACATTTTACTTAAAAAACAACCTCTCTAGAGGTCAGGCTTCAGATGTAATGGTCATAACCCTCACTATTTTACACAGAGCAGTTAATGAATTATTTGCAGCGGTGAAGGGACAGACCCACTCTAGCTTAATCTTTCCACACTCCGCACTCCTTGTCAAACCCCCGGAATACCCGGGCTGCGCAGCGCTTCGGATCTTGCCACGCCCAGGGAGGAACCTATGCAGTCATGAAGCTGCTGGTCCCATCACCTCAGCCTGCGGTCTGAGATGGCTGAGTCACGGACAGGGTCACTGAGGACTGCATCAGACCAAACTCACCTGCGGACGCTTACGACTCAGAGCCTGCAGTAGCCTCTTACGTTTCCAATCTCTGGTAGATGAGAGAATTTTGAAATTATTGCGATCACTTGAGCTATGCCTGATCAATAATGTTGGTTATCAGACTGATTGTTTCAAGAAAAAGCAAGGCATGCTGGTAAGGTGACCTTTGTTCTCTGCCCTGAGTTATAAATGAGTTACCGTGTTACAAATTGCTTCTCTTGGATTTTAATGTTATTACATTGTGACATTCAACATACAAAACTTAGAAAGACTATGATCAGGAGGGAAATCACACTTAAATGAAATGGCTATTTTATCTTTACTCTTTGAAAGATCATTTATGAAATATTTGGAATGTACAGAGCAGAAAGGAACAGCAAATACCCCAGGATCTACAATCCAGATTTAAAATTGCAGTTTCCCGTTGAACTTAATCTATCCCTCACTTCAGGTTTTGTGTTCTAGATTTCTACGGCTATAATTACACTTTTGTGTCTTGATGTTACTCTCAAATACCCCTGAGTGCCTCACTGGGAAATAGATGTTTATCTGTACAATAACACTACGATTGCCAAGCCTTAACACAATTGAGCACAACCCTCTAGCACTCAAATTCTCCATCTTTGGCCATTTTCAAGGTGACTTCTGAGTCCCTTGCACACCACTGCTGTGGTTTTGACAGTTCCCTTTTGTTGCTGTTGTGAGGGTGGGGAGATGTCCTGGGCATGTGTAGTTATTTTCTGTCTCACATGATCAATTCTCCATGAAGCCAGGTTTTATTTCCAGTGGGAGACTGTATTCAGAGGCCATCCCCTGGGTCTTCTAGTTTTTCTCACTCTTACTGGGTTCGTCAGTGCTGCTAGGTTTAAAATAGAAGAGAACATGCACTCACATATAAAATGAATCATGAATCAATACTGAAAGCCCCAATATAAGTTCAGAGCTACAGGTTTTACTTTGTCTAATTAATTTTATGTTGATAACATTTGCACGCACAAAAAAGTCCCAGGTCCCAGTGATGTCAGCATTATCATTTTTCTTTTTTTTTTTTTTTTTTTTTTTTTTTTTT